TACCGCTCTGTATATCAGTATTGAAAAATTTACTGTATTTTGTATTACTTATTTTAACAATTGTTATTTTAATCTGCAGTAGTTCAATTTATTTTTAAGGGGTGGGTGAGAGTGGGAACATGGTACGGGATTTGGATTGATTTTAATTTACTGTGATGTTTTAATTTGTTGTACGTCGCCCTGATTGCATGGCAGAGGGGCAGGATACAAATAAAAATTATTATTATTATTATTATTATTATTATTATTATTATTATTATTATTAAACACATTAGTTGTCACACATTTAACTAAAAGCCTTTCAAAGAGCCAGCATGGCCTAGTGGTTTGAATGTTGGAGTACGACTCTGGGGACCAGGGTTCGATTCCCACCTCGGCCATGAAACCCCCCCGGGTGACCTTGAGCAAGTCACATTCTCTCAGTCTCAGGGGAAGGCAATGGCAAACCTCCTATGAAGAAATCTGGCCAAGAAAGCCCCATGATAGGTTTGTCTTAGGGTCACCATAAGTCAGAAAAAAATTGAAGGCATGCAACATACACACACACACTTTAAAAAAGAAAAATGCCCCCAAATCCCCCCAAGCCACTCCCTCAAAACAATATTCTGGAAAAAGGAAACCACTGGTGAGAGCCAGCATGGCGTAGTGGTTTGAACACTGGACTAGGGCTCTGGAGACCAGGGTTCAAATCCTGGCTTGGCCACGGAAACCCACCTTGGGCAAGTCACACTCTCTCAGCCTCAGAGGATGGCAATGACAAACCCCCTCTGAAGAAATCTTGCCAAGAAAACCCTGTGATCGTCTTAGGGTTGTCATAAGTCTGAAATGACTTGAAGGCACACAACAACAACAACAACAAACAGCTGCCTCTATCTGCTGGAGAGGTCAGGATCCTTGCCTACTCTCAGCAATAAGGGCTTCACCACTACCACCACCACCACCACCACCACCCTAGGCTCCTCAATGGACAGAAGGGTAGGACTGCAATTCCCATCATGCCGCTTAGGATGGTGGGAGTCGTCATTCAGCACACTTGCAGTGGGTCTGCAGCTTAGGAAGAGCCCATGAAACAAGAGTTGAATTGGGCTCCTTGTGATCCAGCTGCACAAGACTGGTTTACATTGTGTTGCAAACTGCAGTTGCTTGAAGCAACATGTTAAAGAAGTGGTACCCAATCTTTGGTCCTCCAGGTGTTTTGGACTTCAACTCCCAGAAGCCCCAGCCAGCTTGACCATCAGCTAGGAATTCATGGAGCCAAAGTCCCAAACATCTGGAGAACCAAAGTGCGGGAACCACTATGTTAAAGGATCAGAAGGCTGACTCCTTGGAAAAGTGACTTGTGACATTTAAAAATCCTGGCTGCCTTCCCCAATGGATGGCTAGGACATGCCCACAAGTGGCTAGTAGGCCATCCCTGTTGGCATTGCCATATCCAGACCTGGAGAAAGGGAGCTGTGTTGTAAGTCATCAAGCCAGCTGATCTACCTCCTGCCCTTCCGCATTTTGCACTCGGAGCAGCTTACCAAAAATACAGCCAAGTCAGAAAAAAAATATATACAAATCAGAAGCGATATCCTTAAAGGATTAATCCCCAGGCTTTTTCAGGCCACATGCCAAGGAAGATTCTTTTAGTCATGACACAGAGTCAGCCCTACTAGAGGCAGGGAAATTACTAGGGGAATGTGGGGACCCTGTCAGATTTCTTGTAATAAAGATCCAAGGGTAGCCCGAGATATTTTGCTACCTGAAGCAGTACTTCAAGTCCCGGAGGGGTCGGTCGGTCAGATTACAGGAAAGCTGATCCGAAGGAAATGAACTCATTTGAAATGGGATGCTATTAGAAAGACAAACGAATGGGGTTTAGAGCAAATCAAGCCTAAACTCTCATTAAAAGCGGAGATGACTATTTGATGACAAATAACAAAGAAGAAAGAGATAGCCCTCCAGTTTTTTCTGGGCTGCAACTCCCATCGGCCCTAGCCAGCACAGCCAAGGGTGAAGGATGATGGGAGCT